CCCCCGCACCTGCCTCTTTCCCCATACTCAGGCCCCACATCGGGCGCCACTTTTCCGGGACTTACTCGGCATAAACAGGTTTTTCTGAGTGAAAAAGACTGTAAATTAAAAATAGACGCAACAACACACAAAAACACACAAGTATAAAAAAGCAAAAATCGAGTAACTGCAGCTTCTCTAAAAGAAAAGTAGCAACCAAAACAGGCCTCAGGTTTATTCTCATAAAGGGCAAAAAATGGGGAAAGGGAAAATAAAATACAAAAAAAAGCAGGGGCGGGGGTGGGGGGTGGGGAGTAGAATGCAAAGCCAGTTGTTTTTAAATATAAATTGTCTAAATATGTAAAAATGACTTGCGCCATTGGGACCAGCAGCTAGCGTAATGGCTATGTCGTTGGACTCCCATGTAGTCAACAACAGTTTGTGTCTCGGACCCGGTGGCTTAAACCCATGCTGGGCGCATGTGCATGAGTGCTCAAGATCCCAAGAGGAGAATGGAGGAGAAGGGATTGCGGTGTGACCATCCCCCCTGGGAGGTGATTTCTCGCTTTCTGTCTCTCTGTCTCTCTCTGTCTTTCTGGTGAGCTCATGTGCCTATAGCAAAATCCTCTCAAAAAAAAAAAAAAAATGACTAGCGCCATATAATTTCTCTAATCTTTTTTCAGGAGACAATCGAATAAACGCATGTGACTTCCTTAAGCCCAATACTGGGCAGTATGGGGTATTAAGTATCAACAACAACAGGAAAATAACCATTAACAGCAGACAAATACTGCTTTTGTATGTAAATACTTCTCAATAGCCCTGCTAAAGTAACTTACAAAAGCACATTTCTGCATATGTCTAAATGTCACAGGTTTTCAGACTGGTTGCTCTCCACAACAGAGAGGAAACTTCCTGGAGGGAGTCAGATTTCAGAGACAGTGCAAAGGCTCGAGATAGCTTGCCAAGAAGTGGTCAAAGTAGGAGAAAAGGGAGGTAATTGAAGTGAGCTGGGCCATGGCATGGAATGGGCACACCAGGGGAAATAAAGGGGCCCAGAGAACCAAACATGGGTTCTTCCGTGGTTACCTCCCGCTCATCCAAATACTAAAAGATTCTCTTCCAGACAAGACCAATGTCAAGTACAAGAAGTTGGCCTTCACCTAGAAGAGACCCATGCTACAAGTTATCTCCTTCTTCTATAATTCTTCAGTTACTTTATAATAGCTGGTTACTCTGTACTTGAGAGACCCTCTGCAGATAGCCCATCAGCCCCCAAAAGTGCATAGAAAGACCTGGTTTTCATATAACTTACTTCCTCTGTTTCCTATGTATTTTGTTTTGTGCATTAAAAACTTACCTCAAGGGGCCAGCAAATGATGGGGAGGTTAAGGTGGCTGGATTCCACATGGCTGACTGCACAGATTGAGCCCTGAACCCAGCAACTTGAAAATCAAGCTGGATACGTGTGCAAGCATGCCCAAAATCTTGAGAGAAGAATGGAGAAGGGATTGCAGCATGGCCATCTCCTCTGGGGGGAGGGGAAGAGGCATGATTTCCCACTTCTTTCTCTCTCTTTCTCTCTCTCTTCCTGGCAAGCATATGCACCTTATAGAAAAAAATAAACAAACAAACAAATAAAAACTATTGAAAACTACTGACCTAGAAGAACAAGACGATCAGAGGACATAGGCTGTGAGGAAGAGACATGGTCATGGAACGTTTCTCATTCATTGGATGACATTGGTCATATCCATTGGGTTGAGGGTCTCCTGAATCTGATCCTAACCTCCTTTTATATTTACCAGCCCCACCCACCTGCCCAACCTCTCAAATCATCTTCCTGAATTTTTGTTTTCACCAAATTGGCCTCAAAAGCCCTCAGGTATATCTGGTGCATTCTTTTTCTGTTGCTCATTTAGCCATTGGTCTATTTTTGTGTTTAGTGGTTTTCTTCTTTCTCTCAAGCACTGGGTTAAACACTAGTGGAGAAGAGAACATGACAGAACACAAACACAACGCATCCCTGTTCTTACAAAGTTTGCCCCCATCTACCAACAGGAATTAAATTCTGTCTCCATCCAGTGTCCTGCTCACCTGCAGGGCCTTCCACAGAGACTTTCCTGATGCCATTCCAGATTTGAGTTCTTCCACCAATGAAGCCCTTGTTAGTACTAATCACTAGTTCCAGTTGTATAAGACTGGTAGAAATGTCTAGATCACATTTTCTTATTAGATTTATCAGGTCTTGGTAATTAGGTTACAAGATCTAATATTTCATTATTAGGGTTTTGTTTTATTTTAGGGGAGTTTTTTTTACTATAGGGTGCATGCACTTGCTAGAGAGACAACAGAGAGACAGAAAGTGAGAAATCACCCCCCAGGGAGGATGGCCACACCACAATTCCCTCTCCTTCACTTTCCACTCAGGATTTTGGGCACACATGCACACGCGCCCAGCATGAGTTTTAAGCTGCTGTATCTAGAACTCAAATTGTAGTCAGTCATGTGGGTGTACAGCAACATGACCATTACAGCATCTGCTGATTCCAAGGGTTTTTTGTTTGTTTTTAATATTGCCAGAGGACACACGTGCCTCCAATGGGGCAGGTCACACTACGATCCCTTCTACTCCATCTCTCTGTCCTATTGGGATTTGGGGCATTCATGAACATGTGCCTGGCATGTTTTTCAAGCTAATGAGGCTAGGATTCAAACTTTGCAGTCAGCCATGTGGGTTCCAGCTTCCTTAACCACTAGACCACAAGCCAGCCCTCATTATTACATTTTAATAATTAAGCAGTACTAGCTTTCATCCTTAGAGCGGCAAGAGCAAAGATTCTTGCCACACTACCATAGAAATTGCCTAGTTTTCAGGCTGTACTTTGAGTCAATAATTTCTGCTCTTGACTTTATTCTTTTTCTTTAAGCTTTTTATCACTCTCAGACTTCCCAACCCTCGGTCCTTGAATTCCTCATGTCCTTCATGCTGTCTTGTGGTCAGCACCCTGGGGGACTCAAAATGCTGCCTTCAGTGATTGTTTCATTCTGGTCCACCACAGAGATAACACAGTAGGCTATCTTGCCCACTACCGTATACCAGGCCTTCAAGAATTCCCTAGAACTGGGGTCAGCAGGTAGCATGGAGGTTAAGAGTGCTGGATTCCCACATGGGCAACCACGGTTCATGTCCCAGACCCACCGGCTTGAAAATCACACTGAGCGCATGTGCATGAGTGCCCAAAATCCTGAGAAGAGAATAGAAAAGAAGGGATTGCAGCATAGCCAGCCCCCTTGGGGGCAATTTCTCACTTCCCCTTTCTCTTCTCTCTCCATCAAGCGCACATGCCCTTAAACCTTAAAAGAAAATAAATAAATAAGAATTCCCCAAGACCTCTGTATCTTCAATGCCTTCAGGTCCAGTCTCATCCCTTAACCAGTTTTACCTTCCCGGTTACGCCCACCCTGTACCAATCTCTGTTACCAATCAAGATAACTCATTGCTAGAAGCAGAATCCAATTCTGAAATTAAACAACAAATAAAATGTAATTATTGGTTAGGTCTCAGAGTCCACAGAAAGGCTGGAGAACCCAGGCTCAGAATTAAGCAAGAGAGGGACCAGCAGGTGGTGTGGTGGTTAAGGTGCTGGACACGCCCGCATGGCCAGCCACAGTTTAAGTCCTGGACCTGGTGGCTTGCTTTCTCATTTGGCTTCTCTCTCTCTCTCTCTCTCTCTCTCTCTCTCTTTTTCTGTTTGTGTGTGTGTGTGTGTGTTTGTGTGTGTGTGTTTCTCTTTGTGTGTGTATCTCTCTCTGGTGAAATTAAAAATAAATGAATGAATAAATAAAATGAAATAAATAATTAAAAAAAAAAAAAAGAATTAAGCCAGACAAGTGCAGTCAAAATCACGCCACAGAACTGGTCTCATAAATACCACAGCTGCCAGTAGGGGGCACCAGATGCCACAGCACAGACCAATGCCACCATCATGGACTGGATCCTGAACACTCCTCTGGCCACTGCTGCCCCGCTGTTCCCCAGGAGCTGACTGTTGTGGCCACCGCCAAGACCACTGGAAAGAGTTGTCCGTTGTGCCTCTCCTTTTTTCTCTGATTCAGTGAACTAGGGAGCATCCTCTTGCTGAATCCAAGCCAGTTGCATACCTCCCAACCTAGCTGACTCGACATGAGAGCTTTCCCAAAGAGCAGTGAAAAAGTGTGGACTGACAGCCCCCAAGCCCTCTTCCTGACCTTGGGTGATAATAATACAATGGGAGGATGGCACACATCCATACACACTTCTAGATCACTGGCATTCTTTAGCCTGAGGCATAAACAAAGTCCCAATCCTGAGAGCAAAACTTTTAGCTCTTAATTTGCATATTATTTATAGACTTATTAACCACAACCTTTGCCTAGTCTGGTTTCGGTGTCCTGTTTCCTCACTGTGAGGGGAGGAGCCTATCCTGGCACTCCCATTGGCCTCTGCATATATCGCCCCTGCTGGAGCTTCAGGATTCCAGGGAAGATCTGTGTTTCCTGCCAGGATCTTTGCAACCAGTCACGATGGTGACAGCAATGCCTTTTCTGCTGGCCTTGCTGTGCCTTCTCAGTCCTGCAGCCTCCCAGGAGTCGAAAAATCGTAAGTGGGGAAAACAAGGGATGGGCACTGGAGAAGAATGGGAGTAAAGAATAAGATAGAAGGTCTGGGAGAAGGACCCTTGATGCAGCTGGAATTCCCAAGTGTACTATAGTAATGAGTGTTCAGGGTTACCAACTAACAGTTCACACACTTTGGAAGCATTTAAGGATCCTCTGGACTCGTGCTAAACAAGACCTTAAAGAATCTGAAAGTGAGACCCTTAGTTTACAGATTAAACCAACAAACAACTCAAGAGAGGCAAAGTAGCAGCCAGAGTGGGCCAGGAAACACACACTTGAAGCTGTTTCTGTTCTTACTCCTTCCCTCTTCTAATGGATGGATACAGTGGTCCCCAACCTTCATGGCACCAGGAACTGGCCTGGTGGAAGACAATCTCTCCACAGTCAGAGCAAGATAGGGGGACAGTCCCAGGAGGACCCGAGCGCACCACATCCATCAAGCTCCTCATTTCCACCACTACCACATTGCAATATACAATGAAACAATCACACAGTAGGGTTCTGGCTTCCATAAGAATCCAATACCACTGCCTCAGGACACAGAGCCCAGGCAGCAGTGTGGTGATAGTGGCTGCAAACACAGAAGCCTCGCTCACTTGCCTGCCATCCGCACCTCACTGCCAGGGCAGTGGCAATGGAACATCAGAGTTGGGGACAACACAGAAGCCTCGCTCACTTGCCTGCCATCTGCACCTCACTGCAAGGGCAGTGGCAATGGAACATGAGGGTTGGGGATCTCTGGCTGGGTACACCTGTCTGCCCTGAGTGAAAGAGAAAGCAACTCCAAGAAGCAAATATGAAGGCAGGTTAACTGGAATACTGTGCTAGAAGGAAACCCATGTGCTCACTTCACAGCCAGACACTGCCACAGTGAGTGACTGTGAGAAAAGACCGTGGGGACTTGGGAAGACCCAGAGTCAATTCTAGAACAGAGGAATGGGGCTTATGCCATACACATCTTCAGGATGAAGAGATGAAAGCTAACAATTCCTAAATTGTGCAAGTTTAAAATTTGTATTTATAAACTGTTGGAATACCTGTTTTATGTTAGTTTTATGACGATCACATTTAGACTGTTAACTATATTATACCACAAAATCTGCACTATGTGTGTATGGAGGGTATAAACACACATGCGCATGTGCGCGCACGCACACACACACACACACATACACACATAGGAGTCTTCAAAAAGTTCATGGAGGGACCAGCAGTTGGCATAATGGCTATGTCGCTGGACTCCAATGTAGTCGACCGTCTCTCTCTGTTTTTCTGGTGAGCACATGCACCCTATAGCAAAAAGCTCTCAAGAAAAAAAAAAAGTTAATGGAAAATTAGCATTACAGGCCAGTCTATGGCCTAGTGGTTGAGGCGGCTAGATCCCACATGGCTGACTACCCAGTTCAATTTCCAGACTCAGTGACTTGGGAAATATACTGGGTATGTGTGCATTCCAAAAAATCCCAAAAAAAGAGAGAAATGGAAGGGAAGAGATTGAGGCATGATCATAATACAAAGGGAGTGCTTTCCCCCTTCCCTTCTCTCTTTCTCTCTCTGAGTCTCTCTGGCAAGCACGTGTACCCTCTGACAATTTTTAAATGCTCATTATGAAAAATTACATGTGGATTAAAAAAGACATTTTGCAACAGAATAACCTTGTACTTTTTAAAAAATTATTTATTTATTATATTTATTATTGTTATTATTTTATGTTTGCTATAGGACATGTGTGCTCACCAGAGAGAGAAGGAAGGAGGGAAAGTGAGAAAGCAAGCCATTAGGTCCAAAATGTGAACTGCAGTCAGCCACATGGGAGTCCAGCGCCTTAATCACTGTACCATATACTGGTCCTAAACATACTTTAATTCCATTTACTCTCATATGAAAGATAGTTTTTTTTTTTTTTTTTTTTGAGAGGTTTTTGCTATAGGTTGCGTGCGCTCGCCAGAAAGAGAGAGACAGAAAGACAGAAAGTGAGAAATCACCTCCGGGGGGGCGGGGGGGAGGATGGCCATGCCTCAATCCCCTCTCCTCCATTCTCTCGGAATCTTGGGCACATGCACCTGGTATGAGTTTAACCAACAGGTCTGGGACTTGAGCTGTGGTCGACTACATGGGAGTCCAGCAACATAGCCATTATGCCAACTGCTGGTCCTTCATATGAGAGATCTTAAGAAATTGGTTCACATAATTGGGACTGTCAAGTCCTAAATCTACGAGTATTCCTGTAGGCTGGAGACACAAGAAAGACTTGTTGCTATCTGGAGTCCAAAGGCAGTCTGGAGGCAGAATTCTTTCTTCCTTGGGGGACCTTGGTCTTTTCCTTTGAGGCCTTCACCTGATTGAATGAGGCTCACCAACATTAAGGAGGGTAATTTGCTTTACTCAAGGACTACTTTTGATTTGAATGTTAATCACATTTAGAAATGAATTAGCGATAATAGTTTCAAGGGCCACCAGATGGTATGTGGTTCGAGTCCCAGACCCAGAGGCATATAAAACACTCTGAGTATGTGTGCACATGTGCCCAAAATCCCATGAGGAGAATAGAGGAGAAGGGATTGTGGCATGGCCATCTCCCCCACCAAGGGGTGTTTTCTCACTTTCTCTCTATACACATTCCCTATAGCAAAAAGAGAGAGAGAGAGAGGCTGGCAGGCGGTGTGGTGGATAAGGGCGCTGGATTCCCACATGACCAACCATGGTTCAAGTCCCGGACCTGGTGGCTTGGCTTTCTCGCTCTCCCTTTCTCTCTCCCTCTCTGGCAGTCAAATAAAAAAAAAAAAATAACAATAACAAATGGAATTAAATAAATAAATAATTCTTTTTAAAAATGAGAGAATAATTTCAGTATTTGAACTAGGAATCTACCTTATTACCCCAACATTATTTACACCCATGTGAGTTATATTATGAATTCATTATGGAATTAATTTATGGAAATGTCTCCCTCTCCTAGTTCCTATCTTATACCAAAATGCAAGGTAAAGCCCTGGAAATTCTGAGATACATCAACGTCTTATCTTGTGCTGATCCGTTCTGAGTGATTTCTGGAGTTTTCTAATAAACTCTCCTTCCTACATTGTTTTTTTCTTTTCTTTTTTTTTGGGGGGGTGGGGTGGGGGGAGCATATTCCCTTGGCCAGAACTCGGTAACATGGTCTCAACATATCTGAAAGGAGGCTGAAAAATCTTGTTATGTGCCAACCGGAGAAGCAATGTGATGAACTCATGGAGAATAAAAGAATAAAAGTAGAGCCTCACTCCTCACTGGATTGAGCCTCCCATGGTATAAGGCTGATAGTGCAGTAGAGAGCGCCAGGCAGGAAGAGGTCCAGGGACCAGGTCGTTCCTGCTGGCTCTCTGAAGCCCCACAGTGGAACTCCCATGTGTGGACTTCACCCCTTAAAATATTCTCTTCTTTTGCAGGTGTTGACTCTCTGAGATATTACTACGCGGGGAAATCTGAGTTCAGTGAAGTCTTCCCCAGGCTTCAGGGCACTGGTTACATCAATGATCGTCCCTTCTTCTACTATGATAGTACAAACCACAAAGCTGAGCCCTTGAAACCGTGGTGCGAAGCGGAAGGAATGGTCAATTGGGAAAAAGAGACCCAATTTCAGAAGGAGAGGGAGAATTTGTTCATGGAGACCCTGGGTGACATCCTGGACTACTACAATGACAATAACGGTCAGTGAACTACAGGCTGCAGGGGTAGAGGGCCTTAGCTCAAGAGGCAGCCCCACAAGTATGAGCATAAGGAATCAGTAGGATAAAAAATAGTCTATCCCAAAGGAGGACTAGGAGGCACAAGTAGAAATGCACAGATATTTCTGCATTCCCCCATGCACAACACATCCGCTTCCCCCCTTCACTTTAGGACTCAGTCCATACCGAGAGGAATGTCAAAGTCACTTCTTATCCAGGCATGTCTGACCTCTTGTTTGCACACCCCTACCTGCCCAAGGCTGATCCCACTTATGTAGGTGTTGGACCCACTTGTCCAGGAATGTTGGATGAAGAATGAGCTAGTCTTAGAGTCAGTCACACTTGGGATCATGGAGTAGACCAGTCACTAGCCAGTCACTAGTTGTTCCACGGTGAGAAGTTTCTTAATTATCTGGTCTGAATCTGCAAAAATTGAGGCATTGAGACCTACCTCCAAGAGAGTCTGTGGAACTTGTCTATGCTTATCCGTGAAGGACATAGTGGTCTGTTTTGATTTCCTCTGTAGCCTCATTGCCTAGGACAGGGTGCAGCCAGTAATGTTTGCACAACTGAAGTTTGTTGAAGGAACACAGAGTAAGTACCTTGCACAGACAATGGCCCATACTGGGAGCTTAGTAAGTACTGGATTGAAAACCACAAGCTGGTTAAGAGTTATGTGAAATCATAAGGAGCCTCCTGTCCGTAAGGAGAGGCATGGGAGGGTTTATCTGTGAGGAGCTTGTGGTAGACCCAGCATAAGGGTAGTTCTTCTGAAGGCCAGCACTCTTCCTTCTGGACCACACTGCTTGCCCCACAAAACAGTGAATCTTGGGCCTGGTGAACTGTTGATGTCAAATTTTACATGGTAGTTGTTAAAATGTGGGCTTGAGTACAAAAATGTCCAAGATGCTACATGGAATCTGAAGGTTTCTAAATGGAGGCAAGATTTACACAGAAATGTAGAGGATATAGAATGAGAAGTCTTGATAAGGTGAATGACCCAAGGTATATGTCAGAAATAGAGGCCATGGCAGTAGCACCTGGAAGGACATTGGGAAAAGCTTTGATTGGCTGGAATAGAAATGTTGAAGTGAATAATCTTATCATTAAAGAGGGTGAAAAGATAAAGATATGAACAAAAAGCATTAGAAAACTAATAGTAGCAGGCAAGCCAGTGGCCTAGTGGTTGAGGTGGCTAGATCCCACATAACTAACTAAGTATTTCAAGTCCTAGACCCAGTGGCTTGAAAAACATAGCACATACATATTCATACATGCCCCAGATCCTGACAGGAGAAAGAGATGGAGGAGAAGGGATTGAAGTGTGACCATGACCTATGAGGGGTGCTTTCTCTTCTCCCTCTCTCCTTCCCTCTCTCTCTCTCTCTGGTGTGTGCACATGCCCTGTGATAAAATAAAATAAAATATAAAATAAAGCAAATAACATTAGCTAACAATTATTATGCACTTACTAAGTGAGAGAAACATGTATTAATACTTTTTTTTTTTGGAGAAGTTTTTGCTATAGGGCGTGTGCGCTCGCCAGACAGACACATAGAGACAGAGAGACAAAAAGCAAGAAATCATCCTCCAGGGGGGATGGCCACACTGCAGTCCCTTCTCCTCCATTCTCCTCTAGGGATCCTGGGCACACACGCACATGCGCCCGGCGTGAGTTTTAAGCCACCAGGTCCGGGACACGAACCACGGTCGACTGCATGGGAGTCCAGCAACATAGCCATTACATTAATTAATACATTTAACATTACATTAATTAATACATTTAATGCGCACAATAACCCTCTACTACTACCATCGCCATTTCAGAAATGAGAAAAGTGAAGCAAGAGAGGTGAATGGCCCAAGTAAGCCAGGTGAGCATAGGGGGAAGTCAGGCATTTGACCCAATAGCTTGAGACGGAGTTCAGTGAAGTCTTCCCCAGGCTTCAGGGCACTGGTTACATCAATGATCGTCCCTTCTTCTACTATGATAGTACAAACCACAAAGCTGAGCCCTTGAAACCGTGGTGCGAAGCGGAAGGAATGGTCAATTGGGAAAAAGAGACCCAATTTCAGAAGGAGAGGGAGAATTTGTTCATGGAGACCCTGGGTGACATCCTGGACTACTACAATGACAATAACGGTCAGTGAACTACAGGCTGCAGGGGTAGAGGGCCTTAGCTCAAGAGGCAGCCCCACAAGTATGAGCATAAGGAATCAGTAGGATAAAAAATAGTCTATCCCAAAGGAGGACTAGGAGGCACAAGTAGAAATGCACAGATATTTCTGCATTCCCCCATGCACAACACATCCGCTTCCCCCCTTCACTTTAGGACTCAGTCCATACCGAGAGGAATGTCAAAGTCACTTCTTATCCAGGCATGTCTGACCTCTTGTTTGCACACCCCTACCTGCCCAAGGCTGATCCCACTTATGTAGGTGTTGGACCCACTTGTCCAGGAATGTTGGATGAAGAATGAGCTAGTCTTAGAGTCAGTCACACTTGGGATCATGGAGTAGACCAGTCACTAGCCAGTCACTAGTTGTTCCACGGTGAGAAGTTTCTTAATTATCTGGTCTGAATCTGCAAAAATTGAGGCATTGAGACCTACCTCCAAGAGAGTCTGTGGAACTTGTCTATGCTTATCCGTGAAGGACATAGTGGTCTGTTTTGATTTCCTCTGTAGCCTCATTGCCTAGGACAGGGTGCAGCCAGTAATGTTTGCACAACTGAAGTTTGTTGAAGGAACACAGAGTAAGTACCTTGCACAGACAATGGCCCATACTGGGAGCTTAGTAAGTACTGGATTGAAAACCGCAAGCTGGTTAAGAGTTATGTGAAATCATAAGGAGCCTCCTGTCCGTAAGGAGAGGCATGGGAGGGTTTATCTGTGAGGAGCTTGTGGTAGACCCAGCATAAGGGTAGTTCTTCTGAAGGCCAGCACTCTTCCTTCTGGACCACACTGCTTGCCCCACAAAACAGTGAATCTTGGGCCTGGTGAACTGTTGATGTCAAATTTTACATGGTAGTTGTTAAAATGTGGGCTTGAGTACAAAAATGTCCAAGATGCTACATGGAATCTGAAGGTTTCTAAATGGAGGCAAGATTTACACAGAAATGTAGAGGATATAGAATGAGAAGTCTTGATAAGGTGAATGACCCAAGGTATATGTCAGAAATAGAGGCCATGGCAGTAGCACCTGGAAGGACATTGGGAAAAGCTTTGATTGGCTGGAATAGAAATGTTGAAGTGAATAATCTTATCATTAAAGAGGGTGAAAAGATAAAGGTATGAACAAAAAGCATTAGAAAACTAATAGTAGCAGGCAAGCCAGTGGCCTAGTGGTTGAGGTGGCTAGATCCCACATAACTAACTAAGTATTTCAAGTCCTAGACCCAGTGGCTTGAAAAACATAGCACATACATATTCATACATGCCCCAGATCCTGACAGGAGAAAGAGATGGAGGAGAAGGGATTGAAGTGTGACCATGACCTATGAGGGGTGCTTTCTCTTCTCCCTCTCTCCTTCCCTCTCTCTCTCTCTCTGGTGTGTGCACATGCCCTGTGATAAAATAAAATAAAATATAAAATAAAGCAAATAACATTAGCTAACAATTATTATGCACTTACTAAGTGAGAGAAACATGTATTAATACTTTTTTTTTTTGGAGAAGTTTTTGCTATAGGGCGTGTGCGCTCGCCAGACAGACACATAGAGACAGAGAGACAAAAAGCAAGAAATCATCCTCCAGGGGGGATGGCCACACTGCAGTCCCTTCTCCTCCATTCTCCTCTAGGGATCCTGGGCACACACGCACATGCGCCCGGCGTGAGTTTTAAGCCACCAGGTCCGGGACACGAACCACGGTCGACTGCATGGGAGTCCAGCAACATAGCCATTACATTAATTAATACATTTAATGCTCACAATAACCCTCTACTACTACCATCGCCATTTCAGAAATGAGAAAAGTGAAGCAAGAGAGGTGAATGGCCCAAGTAAGCCAGGTGAGCATAGGGGGAAGTCAGGCATTTGACCCAATAGCTTGAGACGCTCAGAGCTCATACTATAGCACTAACCAATACTGGATAAATATCTACTTTAATCATCCAAATGGAGAGGTTGTGTTCCTCTGCCCTAAGGACTCAGTTCTGAGAGTAGTTGCTGATGGGCAAGGGGGTTAGCACTTCAGAGATCTGGAATAAAAATATTGATGCAGGAAGCTGGGGAGATAGGCTCAACTCTAGTGCCGATCTAGGAGCCACAGGCTGATCAGGTTATTGTGTTTTGCTCACAGAGAATTTGAGACACAGACATGGAAAAGGAATAGCAAAGTGAGTTTATTGAGAGAGATGGGAAGAAAAAAACAGAGTTCCAAGTAGGAGGGGTCTCAGGATGAATTGTCACCTGCTGGTCTGGGTCTCAGGGTTATTATCCTAGCTGAGAGACTCCAGCAGGCATTGTCTTTGTGATAGGCAGCACATGGAGGCTGCTAATTTGGGGAAAACTATTATCTCAGTTAACTTTGAAAGCTCAGAGGCTGTAAACTTGGAATTTTATTGTCCCTGTGCAAGGAAGTCTTAACTCCTTTTGGTTTCTGTGGGGGGAAAAATATTCCTACGTTATCTATGTGCTCTGGGTTGTGACAATTGATCTCTAGTTTTTGTCTAATTAAGCTTTTTAGAAAGGAGTCATAAATTATTTTTTTTTAATTATTATTGAGACCAGCAGTTAGCATAATGGCTATGTCGCTGGACTCCCATGTAGTCGACCGCGGTTCGAGTCCCGGACCCGGTGGCTTAAACTCACACCAGGCGCATGTGCTTGCGTGCCCAAGATCCCAAGAGGAGAATGGAGGAGAAGGGATTACGGCATGGCCATCCCCCCTGGGGCGGGGGGGAGTGATTTCTCGCTTTCTGTTTCTCTGTCTCTGTCTGTCTGGCGAGCGCACGCGCCCTATAGCAAAAACCTCTCCAAAAAAAAGTAAAAAAAATAATTATTTGGGGGACCAGCAAGTGGCTTGGTGGTTAAGGTGCTGGATATTCCCACATGGCCAATCACAGTTCAAGTCACGGACCTGGTGGCTTACTTTCTCACTTTCTTTCTCTCTCTCTCTTTCTCTGTGTCTCTCTGGTCAAATTAAAATAAATGAATAAATAAATAAAATGAAAAATAAGCAATTATTTAAAAAGAGAATTACGTGTTTATTCCATTTCATTTTTTCTTTTTTTAATTTGACCAGACAGAAAGAGAGAGAAAAGGAAAGTGAGAGAGTGAGCCACCAGGTCCAGGACTTGAACCACAGTCAGCCTTTAAACACCATGCCACCTGCCAGTACCAGGAGCCGTAAATTCTTTAGGAGCAAGATCTACACGTCTTTAGGTCAAAGGTGGCTCATAGTGGCTCTGTGACAAAAAGGGAAAAGAAAGGAAATAACATACTTGGCTGCCCAGCATGGCAGACAGCGGATCTGCTTTCAGAGTCTCTGCTTTATCTTCTTTTTTTTTTTTTGAGAGATTTTTGCTATAGGGCGCGTGCGCTCACCAGACAGACAGAGAGAGACAGAGAGACAGAAAGCAGGAAATCACCCCCCAGGGGGGATGGCCACGCGGCAATCTCTTCTCCTCCATTCTCCTCTCGGGATCTTGGGCACGCACGCACACGTGCCCGGCGTGAGTTTAAGCCACCGGGTCCAGGACGTGAACCGCGGTCAACTACGTGGGAGGCCAGCGACATAGCCATTACATTAACTGCTGGTCCCTCTGCTTTATCTTCTTACTCGCAGGGCCTAACTCCTGTCTCAATATCCACCACTGAAAAAGAGGGAAGAAGTGTTCATGTTATGTATGTTCAAGTGAAGATATGAGCTCTAATTTGAACTGAGATAAAAGGAGAGATTCCCATCATCTCTGTGAAACCACAGTAATTTCTGTTTAACTTGGAAATGCACTTCAGTGTGGTTATGTCAGGTTGCTAAGAACTAACTGCGTATTCAGACAAATAATCTCCACTAGGTGAGGTAATGCAGAAGGGTAAAAAATCTGTCCATAGTCTGTAGCTCTTAAGTTTCCTGGCTGGAAAGAACTCATCTCCAACTAACCTGAAATGCCAAACCAACCAGTTTTCTCCCCTCTATCTGCTGTCTGTCTGATTTGCCAAGATAAAGGGATTGCATGCTTAGATTTTTAAAACCTTAACATCTACTGAGTTGAAAGTATATAGGAAAGAGAGATGTTCAGATGGAGTTGACACCAGGCTGACTGACTCTCCCTGGGGCCTGGGGAGGCCATAGGGTTTCATGTCTTGCAGGAAGCATTTGGTTGTGAGCTCCAGAATAACAAAAGCAGTGGAGCATTCTGGAAGCTCACCTATGATGGACGGAACTACCTCACATTCAACACCACCATCTCAGCCTGGGTCGCGTTAGACCCAGCAGCCCAGAACACTCAGGAGAAGTGGAATGAATATGCGAACAACGCTAAGAAGTACTTGGAGGAGGAGTGCCCTGACACGCTGCGGAAGTACCTGTCCTACAACCCTAGTTCCCTGGACTGACAAGGTACTCCTTGTTTCCTGTGGCCTGCTCCCTAGAGCTAAGGTGAAAAAGACCAAAGTGATCTCAGGCAGGAAGATCAAAAAAACATCTCGGGCTTCTCCTGTCCACCCCTGGAAGTCCCTTAGTGCCCAGCTTTCACCCCTAGTGTTAGGATCATCTGTGTTGGGGGCTGTGAAAGAATTCACAGACTCAGAGTAAGTGGATAGAAAAAAGGTTTATTCACTTTCTAAAAGGGAGGAAAGGGACCAAGTGGGGAGGAGAGTTTCATGGGCAACTGGTTAGTAGGGACTAGGAACTTTTAAAGGAAAGAGATGTAAGGTTTTGTTTTGTTTTGTTTTGTTTTTTTGAGAGAGAGAGAGAGATTTTTGCTATAAGGCATGTGCACTCACCAGAGAGACAGAGACAGAAAGTGAGAAATCACCTCCCAGGGAAATAGCCATACCACAATCCCTTCTCCTTACTCTCTTCTTGGGATTTTGGGCACTCACATGCACATGCCCAGCATGAGTTTAAGCCGCCTGATCCAGGACTCGAACCACCGCAGTCAACCACCTGGGAGTCTAGAGAAGTAATCATTACATCATCTGCTGGTCCCTTAAGGTGGGGTAATTACGGTGGTCCTGAGACAGCAGCCAGGTGGTCTTTTACAACATCTAGGTTGGTCAGTTGTTATTTCTGTTTAGTCAGCCATCTGCTGTAACATCAAACAGCCCTCCTTTCTTCCCTCCTTTGAGGTAGAAATCTTTCTCTGATGCCAAGGAATTTCCCCACTGGAGCTGTCCCCTCCCACTGGGCCCTTTAGACCTTCTTCCTTACCTCAAAGGACACTCAGAGTTGCCTAGAGATGTGCCTTCTCTCTAGCAGATCCCAAGCTAAGAGACAAATATCCAAGGATTGATTTTTTTTAAAAAATGTGTGGAGAATGCTCTTTCACCTAGGACTGATCCCTTCCAGGGAGGACTCAATGTGGGGTCCAAAAAGAGTGTTCATCAACATTTCAGGCAGGATGGCCCAAGAAAGCCACTAATTTAAAGGTGGGCTTGCCTGCCTAATCCACAACTGACAGCTGAAGAAGTTGGAAATCAGAGAGGTCAGGTTCACACTGTCCAGAAAAGGCAAAGCTGGGACTTGAATTCCTTTATTCAGGTTCCAAATCCCATAATCTTGTCTCTCTACGGTGATGGTGTCTTGGTTGTAGAGAGGAAGCAAATGTGTAAAATATCTGCCCTGGAAGGATGAACATGATCAAGTGTGAGCAGAACTGACGCTCACACACAAGTCTACAAGCTGAGGCTTTAATTTCAGAAGTATTGAGAAAGCAGATTGTGCAATGGAGCAAGGAGGCATTTGATGGGCAGGGCCAATGGCAGATCTAAGGAGCTGGCCTGAGATTAAGGGAAGAAGGAACTGCAAAGGCCACCTGGGTAGGTAGGACATGATAGACAAGTGCATGGGTTAGTCACAACTTGTTGTCATTAGAAATCAACTGGGTTAGAGTGGGAGGGAGCAAGGGAATAGCCGTAGACTGTCCACGATCCAAGAAAAGGCAAGGCTCTGGGGAAGCCCCAGCCCTTCCTGATCTTAATAATGCCTTCCTGGGGGAGGTATGTGTACAGCTTAGAGCTCTATAATCATTGATACCCAGTGGGTGAGGGGTGGGTGGGAAGAGACATAAACAGGGAGAAATCTGGCTCAAGCCCTCAGTATCCACACTTTCTCTCTCCACAGAGCCTCCATCTGTGTCAGTCACTACCTACGTGGTCATAGGAGAAAGCATTGAAACTGAGCAGGAACCCAAACTGAAAATAAGGGTGGAAATAAAAGTAAAATGTCTTTCTAAGAGTTTTAGAATGCAACGGTCACTTACTTTTTAGTAGTCCAAAGTCAGGGGTAAGACTTTAGCTACGGTCATTAAACGATACTGACTGTGAATGAGGTCAGAAGGCTTCTAAAATCCCCACTTAAAGGAAAGGTTAAGTTTTTAACTTTAATATTTAATATGTTTTGCAGGGGGAATAAACAAAAACCTACCCACTATGAACACATAGACTACAGGCCAAATGGCACCAGAAACCTGGCGATTGTTCCCTTCCAGAATGGAAATTTGATTATCGAAGGCCTTAAGCAAATCTAGAAGACCCATGATATAATCAAGCCTGCTTGAAGCAATCATTGAACTGTTCATGCCTCTGAGACCTCTACCCTTAATTTTGCCCCTAAAAATGCATATGGGGAACTTCCTGAGAAAACTGGACCTTCTCAGAGTGAGCTGTCCACTCTCTTTCCTTTGTGCATGGCAATAAAGCGGTACTTTTCTTCACTACACCATGTGCCTACAGTTTGGTTTGTAGCTCTTGGGCAAGTGAACTTGATTTGAGTTGGTAATAGCAAGACGCTGAAATGCCAGGCCTGTAAATTTCTATCCACAGGAAATTAATGTGCACTGGACTCAGATGGGCAGCCGCAGGAGTTTCAGTGAGGTGGAGACGTTCTTTCCAGTGGAAAGGGCACTTAACAGTCCTGGGTGGCAGGGAAAGTCTCCCATCAAGACGAAACCCCATATTTCTACCAAGTGGCACACAGCAGCCTTGCCCAGCCCCTCTTGGTGCCACAGGATGACAGGCAGGAAACAAAGGCAGAAGGTAGTTTGGTCTCTTAGCTCCAGTAGCCACCTTTTCTAATTGGCATGAGCAATCTAATCTTCAGAAAAACTCAAGCTCATCAGAGTGGCTTGGGAGACAGTGCAAGGAGACAGACGGGTAGGAGATTTGGAAAATGAAGTGCTGGGACTGGCTGCCTCTCACCACCAAACCACCTTGTCTCCTACTCCCCAACCCCATGGTTTAATTTGTAAAATCTGATTCACAATGATCTCCTTGCTTAGCACAGCAGGGGAAGGTTTCTGGTTTGTTTGTTTGTTTGTTTGTTTAGGTTTTTGCCATAGGGCATGTGCACTATGCTAAAGAGAAAAACAGTGAGAAAGAAAGTGAGAAATCACACCTCAGGGGGAGTGGTCACACCACAATCCTTTCTCCTCCTGGGATTTTGGGCACATACGCACACATACCTGGCATGATTTTTAAGCCGTTAGGTCTCAGAATAAAACTGCTGTTGGCCATGTAGGAGTCCAATGCCTTAACCATCAGGCCACCTGCTGGCCCCACAAAGGAAAGTATTTTTAAACTGAAATGATGCGAAACTGTGAGTCAACTTTATCGCTCATCCTGTCCCCAAATATTAGATTCATCTGAAATTCTTGGTATCCACTTGAAGCAATGTTTACTGGGCATATATTTTCAATTGCCAGAGGGCATTTGTGCTTGCCAGAGAGAGATGGAGAGACAGAGAGAGAGAGAGGGAGAAAGGACCTCCCCATGGAGCGTGATCCCACTACGACCTCTTCTCCCATGCTTCTCTATCCTGTTGGGATTTGGATGCACATACATCCTGCATGTTTTTAAGGCATCTGGGGCCAAGTTTCAAACCACACCAGTCATGTGGTATCTGGCTCCCTTAACTCCTAGGCTATGGAGTGGCCCTACTGAACATCTCATTGCTGGGGAAATTAATTCTGGGCGGGGGAGGTCTCTATCCAGGGTGTGAGGGTCTTTGGCTTTGTGAAGGAAGGAATTAAAAATTGAGCCTCTGAGGGACAGTAAAAGAACATTTATTAAGGAAAATGTACAGAGCAGACTACTCCACAGGTGGAGCAGCCTTGCGAGGGGAGATGGGTGAACAGTTTCATTCCTTCTTCATTAGTCTAGGACGAGCCACCTCTGCCCACTGCTTCCCCGGTTGTAAGCCTCGAGAAGAATGGGAAGAACTGTTAACCAAAAAGAAAGATAGAAGGGCCACCCCATGAGCAGGACAGCCCTGAATTTTGGAGGGTTCCTAACTTATATGGGTTGGCTTCATGTCAAATTAAGCAAGGGTGATATATTCCTGACTTTTCCAGGAAAACAGCAGTGATTTTCCTAGGATCACTGTCCCTCCCAATTTCTAGGCTTCTTAGAGCAGTTCTAGTCATTGCCATGGTTATCCCAAACTGTCATGGTGCAGTTAGGAGTGTCATAGCATGCTAATACCACACAAGGAGGGCATAATGAGCCTGAAGGGTAGACAGAAGTTGTTCCAGGTGTCATCTTGATTCCACTAAAAAAATCACTTACAGACCTCACTGAGCCCAAAGAATATTTTTCGCAAATGATATAATTTGTTATTAATGAGATGACACACACATACAGGGAGTAAACTTTCTGCATCTTCTGCACACAAAAATATGTTCTAGGAAGAACATTCGATCACAGCTAACCTAATATTTGTCTGCAAGAATCTTACAGTAGAACAAAAACTTGGGCCCAAATACAAGAGCTAGATGGTCCAATGTAGGTATGAAGAAGAGAAAATTGGCTCTGTCAGACTAAAACTTTCCACCTTTGAACCATGGCAGCCATAATCACAGTGGCATGTATATCTGTGCTAGACAGCTAGCTAGGAACGAGCGGCAGCCCTGAGAAGAGAGCAGAAGGCCATCGCCACATCAATCACAACTTAGTAAGAGTTATGACCAACCCCTCCATGAAAATGGTTTTTGGTTTTTTGTTTTTGAGAGAGAAAGAGTTTTGCTAGAGTGTGTCCTTGCCAGAGAGACAGAAAGTGAGAAATCACCTTCCGGGGGAAGATGGCCATGCTGCAATTCCTTCTCCATTCTCCTCTCAGAATTTTGGACATGCATGTACACATGCCCAGTGTGAGTTTTAAGGCACTAGGCCTGGGACTCGAACCAGGGTTGACTATGTGGGAACCCAGCTATGTAATCATTATGTCATCTGCTGATTCCGATAATGCCTTCTTCCCGCCCAGGTCCTGGTGCTGGAAAGGCAAGGCAGATCCCATTTTTCTTTTTTAGTTCCTGAGAAAGGCACAGGCGGACGGACGGTTGTTATCCCTCTTATCCTTCCTCATAAGTACAAGAGGACACAACGAGACGTTTTGGTCAGCATCCTGATTCCCAGTATGGCAATAAACTGACTGGGCAGTTGATCCAAATAAGGATGCTCGTACCTTCTAAGTCCACACTGAGCATGTGGGAGTAGGTCACTGAATTCCTCACCTATGAGAGATGTGCAGGTGCAGGAGAAAACCCACAAATTCAAAGAAGCCAGATACTATGACAGACCTTGCCCTGCTGAATATTCATTACTCTTGGAATAAACGTAACGTCTAGCCCCACGCCAGTGCAGTTGTCCTTCTCTGGCAGCTGCCCACCTGGATGACTTTCAGGCATGGGGTATGTACTTATTTCCTATTAAAAATCTTCACTTCCCTATTAAAATTTGCCGTTTCCTACTTTACAAGTGTTTGTGGTTTTTCATTTTGAGTCCCAGGACAGGTCTCTAATCTAGACCTAAAGAACCAAGGATTTTACACAACGCAGATAAACTCTCCCACCCAGTAACATGACCACTTACCCACTTACTCTTCTTTCTCCCAATTGAAAAACAATTCCTCATATCTGTTCTGGGCCTCATCATTTCTTTCTGTACGAGGACCTTTTTCTTCTAGTTATTCTGTTTCTCTCCTGTGTCATAAAAAATAAACATATTAGGGCCAGCTTCATAGCCTGGTGGTTGGGGGAACTGGATCCCACATGGCTGACCGTGCAGTTCAAGTCTTGGCCTGGGCAGTTTTAGAGAAACGCCAGATACATGTGCATGTGTGCCCAGACTCCTGACAGGATGGAGGAAGGGAGAAGGGATTTGAGCATGTCTTGACCCTGTTGTGAGGAATGGTGCTTTCTCCCTCCCTTTCCCTAGCCCTCTGTCTCTGTTTCTCTCTGGCTTTCGCATGCGCTCTCTAACAAATATTTAAAAACAAAAACGTGTTATAGTCTGTCCCATCTTGAAACAAAACAAAACCTTCCATGACAGCATTTCCTCCTCCAGTTAGTCCATTTCTTTCTTTGCTTCACAGAGTCGCCCACACTCACTGTCTCCATTCTCTCACTTTGTTTTCACTTTTTTCTTCTTTTTTTTAGATTTTCACCTCATGGTGTTGGAGGAAGATAGAGGGAAAATGAGAAACCATCCTCCAAGAGGATGGCCATGTCACAATCTCTTCTATTCTCTCCTTGGGATTCTGGGCAGACACACGCACACAATCCCAGTGTACTTTTCAAGCTACTGGGTCCAGGACTCAAACTGCAGACTCAACCGTGTGGAATCCAGCCCCTTCACCTCCACACCACCTACTGGCTCCTTATTCGCTCTTTAATCACCCCAGTTAATCATCTGTTCTCCATCTCCACTGAAACTATTTTTCCCGTCACTAATGAACTTCCTTTTATCAAAGCCACAAGCCAGTGAACCCCTCCCTGTTCTGATCTTTCTCAATCTCTTAGCAGCATCTAACACAGTTTGACCTCTCTTCCTTCTTTCATGGAGTCTACAGATATTTAATGATCACATACCATGCACCTCATTATTGCTCCAGGCAATATTCCAGTGAGTGAGAATTAAAAAGTCCCTAACCTCCTGGAATTTATGTTCTAGAGGAGAGATACTGGCTATTAATAGGTAAACCAATAAATGAAGTGCTATGGGAAAATAAGACTAGGTGACAAGGTAAAAAGCCATTGGGAAAGCATGTAAGAGAAGGCCTTCCTAAGGAGAGATTTTCATTCGAATCTAAATGGTGAACAGAAGAGAGCCGGGGAGACCTCAGGGAGAACACCCAGTGCAGAGGGCACCGCCAGTGCCAGGACGCTGGGGCAGGGACAGCCTTGGTGTGTCTGAAAACCAGAATAAAGGCCAACGGGGCAAAAGTATCACGGAGAAGAGGAGAGTGACAGAGATAATGTCTGCAAGGTCAGCAGAAGCTAGACCATGTAGGATTTTGTAGATCCTGGTATAGTTTAGACTATAAATAAGAGGGAACTTCAGAGTTCATGGAAAAATGCAAGTATTTTGGTACAGAAAACATTGAAATCCATGCATAGCTTTTTCCATAACACACATTTATCATGAAGTTCTTGAAGATCCCTTCGTATCAGCTACTGGTTGATTTTAACCAAGATAGCAGTATGATTCAATTTAAATTTTTATTTTTTATTTTGTTTTACTTTATTTTTTTGGAGAGGTTTTTGCTATAAGGCACATGCACTCCCCAGAAAGACAGAGAGAGACAGAGAGACAGAAAGCAAGAAATCACCCCCCAGGGGGATGGCCACGCCACAACCCCTTCTCCTTCATTCTCCTCTTGGGATCTTGGGCACACACACACACACACACACCCGGCATGAGTTTAAACCACTGGGTCTGGGACTCGAACCGCGGTTGACTACATGGGAGCCCAGCAACATAACCATTATGCCAATTGCTGGTCCCTAAATTTTTAAAAACAAAAATTCATGTGTTGAAAATCTAATCTCCAGTACAATAGTCTTGGGAGGCGGAGCCTAACGAGAGATGTTTAGGTCATGAGGGCCCTGCCTTCACAACTGGATTAATGCTACTATAAAAAGGCCTTGTCTTGGGACCAGCAGTTAGCGTAATGGCTATGTCACTGAACTCCCATGTAGTCGACAGTAGTTTAAGTCCTGGACCCGGTGGCTTAAACTCATGCCGGGCGCGTGTGTGTGCGTGCCCAAGATTCTGAGAGGAGAATAGAAGAGAAGGGATTGCAGCGTGGCCATCCCCCCGGGAGGTGATTTCTCGCTTTCTGTCTCTCTGTCTCTCTCTGTCTCTCTGGCAAGTGCACACGCCCTATAGCAAAAACCTCTTAAAGAAAAAAGAAAAAGAAAAAGAGCTTGTGTTGGGGGTGAGGGGCAATATCTCTCTTCATTCCTCTCTTCAAGAGGATGCAGCATTCAAGACCTTCTCTGCTTCACTGATTCTTATCTTCCACATGGAAGACTATAAAGGCCTTTTAGGGTGAGAACGTTCCTTCTTGAGGACCAGGTAATGGAGAGTTAAGTCCTGACCATCTGTATTTTAATTTTGTAAATTAACCTATGCAATGTATTGTGATTATTACTAACACATTTGAATCGATTGCTTTCACCTCATTGTCTAATTTCTATTTACCGCGCTTTCTTGGTACTTCAGACCTATAGTGTGTGAGGCTCAAGGTTAAGGATACGATGGTGAGGGAAACACACGGTCCCTGTCCTTGCAGTGCCTGTGATGTTGCAGAACTGCTTGGATGGCAAGCCACAGATATGAATGGGCCAGCTTAAGGCCGGCTCTGTCCCCAAAGAAAGGACTTCATTGGTATAACTTTGAGTAGCTCACGGCTGCAATGGAACAACTGAAGAACCTGTCTGAAGATGCAGACAGCAGGGCAATGCAGGCAACCAGCCTGTAGAGGTAATCAGTAACCTCATCACCACAATGCCACTCAGGTCTATTTGTTCTTCACTATCCCCAGGTTCAAGAGTCAAAGTCCCATGGGAGAGACTGATCAATCGGCCTCATTCCCCCCATGTTCTCACTCTAAGGACGGCAGAGACTGACAGTCCCCCTAAATAAAAGCCTTCACAGGGAAAACACAATACGAGAGTAAAAGATACCCTAAACAGGCCAGGGTCAGACTGCAGGGGCCTGGGGGGACTGGCTGAGTAGTTCATACCTCATCTCGAGGCATCTGGGAAGCTCTGAAGGCCTTGACCAAAAAGTGACTTGATGACATTTGAATCTGGAGCTCAGGAGAAAAGATTCTCATCTGAGATCAAGAGCATTCACTAAACCTGGCTACGCCTGGTCCCCTGGGTGGGTGGTGGGGCAGAACTCTCTTCTGAGGGAGCACATTAGTACCTTCCACAGCATTCCTGAGGGGCCCCCTAGAAATTTGGAAATGGGGGCTTTCTGTTTCACCATGAATCTTCAAATCTTCACTTCACAGTGCATCTCCAAATGGCTCTGGCCTACAAATCGTCCTGCACGAATACATAAGATCTGCTTTGAGTACTAATCTTTCCTTTGCCATCATTTAGTTGCTCCATTTTATGGTTCTGACCCAGTATTCCTGTCTCTCAGCTTCTCAGGTTCAAGGGCCCAGGTTTGCCTTTAACTTCAACTCCCAAGAACTTGAACCACACAATCGGCCATGTGGGATCCAGCCATCTTAACCCATATGCCACTGGGTGGCCCTCTTCATTTATCTATCTATCTATTTATTTAAATTACTTGGGCTGGCTCCATGGCCTGGTGGTGGAGGGAGTCAGATCCCACTTGGCCAACAGTGTGGTTCAAATTCCCACCTCGGTGGTTTGAAAAACACACCAAGCACTTATGTGTCTTTGACCCAAATCCCTACAGGACAGAGAAAGGGTGGAGAAAAGATCGTGATGCGACCACACCCTTTGAGATTTCTTTTACTCTCTCTCCCTGTCTCTTCATGCCTCTCAGGTGAGCACACACACCCTCTGTCGATTAAATAAATAAATAAATAAAAACACCCAGATAAACTAATGATCAATTCACTGAAATAAGCAAGAGAGTTCAGAAATGTGGATAGCAAATAAATACACAAAGCCAACAGATTTCTTATACGCTAGCTACAGAATAGGAAAGAAACAAGATATCCCACCATGATAGCGTTCTATGGAATAAAATACCCAGGAATGAATGGACATTTTCTTTAAGGTTAAGCAGGCATTAGCGTCTTGTATTAAATGGATAAGTGTTTTGCAAACACGTTACCCATCTTTGCCTTGAGTCTGATATTTGCAACTTCTCTTGAGAGGCCTAAGGCACCTCCCTTACTAGATTCATCTATTCTCAGGCTTTGGAAGGGGCAGGTATGTGTAAAGAAATAGCATGGACTAGAGAACCGACACAGCAGGTTGAATTGCAGTGTTTCGAAAACTGACAATGAGGTAAGCACTGGAGCTAGGCTGTGTGATCATTTTTTTCCCCAACCAACGAGTTTTATTTGTTGCACAATAAGCCACCTAACATCTATCAGCTAAAAAATACTCAACTTTGAATAAAGATATTACAAAATGAATTAGAGCCCAATTACGATTTGCTTTAGGGGAGGGAACACGATTATACTCAATTAATGGCACAAAGAAATGTGGTATTATCTGTGGAAGATATTTTGTAGTTTTATCAACTGTGCTAGGGAGAAATGTTCACCTGTTGAAATATCCATTTTGTAAGTCAAATAATAATGTAACTGAAAGTATAAAAGAAAATGAAATAAAAAATAATAAAAGAATATTTAATAGCAAAAAAAATGAAGAAAAACGTTTTTATAGACCATAGATTAATTTATTTGTAACACCCATCATGCCATGAATTCTTAGGGAATAGGTTCCAGAAGCTCAGGCTCCCTTCCATTGGTTCTTGCAAAGTGTGCTTCTCTGGGTGGAGCAAGCTAGCGCTTCAGTTAAACCCAGGTTCTTGTAGATTGCCAAAAGAACCACTCCATGTTTTCTAAAAAGCCTAGAGAACATACATCCGGTGCCTCTATTCTTTCCCTTGGTGTTCATCATTTTGGCAAATCACTGAAAGGTGGTGGTTCCAGCTGAAAGGGTGTGATCATTTTTTAAAAAGCTCTACTGAGAAATGGAGAACAGTGGCAGATAGAAGAGGACAAAGTGTCAGAAGTGTCAGACTGAGTTTTGAGAAAGCAGAGAAGGTAAGAAAAGTAACTGGGGCCACATTCCTGCATGCTGCCTGGCCTCCCCCAGGTCCTGGACTCAGACACTTAACACTATCAAGATCAGAGCTGCCCTCCTAACCCCCCCTCCCTGTGTTCTTGCTCCCGTGGGGTTTTTCCAGAAGTTATTCCACACTCAGCTTCCTGCTCAGGAAACCATAATCCTGCTACGTTCTGTGGCTGTTAAACTAGGGACAACTTCCTAGATTGAAAGAGGGAAGGAGGAGGAAGCTATGGGTAGAACAGAAGGAAGGGCCACGTAGAGACCCAGGATTCTGGTGGCTTCAGCATGAGGACGCCTTTACTCTCTGTGTACATCTCACTGCAGACAGAGCCCTTGCCCAGGCCTCCAGGTAAGTGACACCAGCAGGGAACAGTAGGAGAGGTTGCCCAGGATGGACAGACCAGAGAAGGGCAATAGTCCTATTGCCCGTGGCACTCGGTTGCATCCTCCCAGCCATTCTCCTCACCGCTGTCTGAATCTGGCATTCCCCGGGATTCTGTTATCCTGCTTTCACTCTCTTCCTCCAAATACCCGCATCACTGCAGTGAGCTCTGGACACATCGAAACTCAGTTCTGACTCAGTTCTGACAGAACCCCAGCAGATTTGGGGTAGGGGTGGGTGTCACTGAAGGCCTACATGGGTAACGTACTTTTCCCAATAAGGAAAAGCAGCACCAGCCAGAGTTCCTGGCATCTGCTCAGATGGCTGCACGGAAGGGGTGAGGCTGTTTGTGTTAAATTAAGGTTTCCTGGAAGCGTGCTGGAAAAAAATATTGCGAGGGTTGGGTGTACTCTTTGGCAAGAACTGGGGCCAAGGGAGGAGCCCAGCAGGAAAATGATGATAGAATTAGATATTAAGATTGGCTGCCTTCACAGGGCGACAGGGATGAAGGTTTTTTTCTACACAGTCTTCTTCCCGTGTTCCAGGGGTTCCTCGAAAGGAAGTGTTTTAAGGAAAACAAGACACATAGTGAAAGCCTCGGTTACATATTGAACCTCTTTGGTTCTCTAATTTTGTATTTTTCAGGACTTTATCTTTTGTTCTACTTTCTTTTTTATTTTCCATTATTTATTTCTTCCATTAGAGAGAGACAGAGACAGAGACAGAGAGACAAGCACCCCTAACACTTCACAGTGCCGCCCTATCTCAGACTCCAGATTACAGGCACACACATACCTGGTATGCTCAGGGAGGTTCCCAGACACAAACCCAGGGCCCTTCTCATGCGGGCTCGGTTGTGTTAGCACTGTGCCATCTCTTTTGTTCTACTGTCAAGAAGATTTCCTCAGTCCTCCATCACTTGTACTGCATTTACGTTCAGCAATCTTTTTTTTTTTTTTCCTTAAATAAAGATAGAATTCACACAAGAAGGGCCAACAGGTGGCAAGGTAGCAAGGTGCAAACTGCTGCTGCTGCTCATGTGCTGGGTTCTCTGAGGCTTCTGGTAAGTGATGTCAGGCCTGGAGGGCTCGGCGTTACTTCCTCCACTGAAGCCCCCAGTGATGGCAGGCCCCAGTGTGTGTCCCACAGCAGAGCCCACAGCCACACCAGCTGCAGTGGTTGACATCGGGGCCACCAGACCTGGCTGCCCCAGTGCCACAGCAGGAGAGCCAACTGCAGGTGGCGGGGCCACTACAAGCAGCTGAGCTGCGGGCCTGGGGGCAGCTCTCATCTGAAGTGCCCGGTTGGCCAGAGGGACCACGCAGGAAATACGGCTTCGGCTTCCATGCAGCATCGCAAGCACATGGAGGCTCAATCAGACATGTGAAATGCTAAAAAATCCCTCACTTTTTTTTTTTTTTTTGGAGAGGTTTTTGCTCGCCAGAAAGACAGAATGCAAGAAATCATCCCCGGGGGGATGGCCACGTTGCCATCCCTTCTCCAAAATTCTCTCGAGATCTTGGGCACTCATGCACACACGCCCCGTGTGAGTTTAAGCCACTGGGTCCGGGACTTAAACCATGGTTGACTACATGGGAGTCCAGCAACATAGCCAACTGCTGGTCCCCCCAAAACCTCACCTTCTAACGCCGTCACTTTGGGAATTAGGACTTTAATTTTGAGAGGGGACTGTGGGAGACAAACGTTCAGTCCGTTGCATACTTTTTGTCAGTATCTATCCTTTTGTTGGGGTGTGAAGAAGAATCTCCCCCTTCTTCTTTTCTTCTCCTCTTCCTCCTCCTCCTCCTCCTCCTTCTTCTTTTCCTCTTCTTCTCCTCCCCCTCCTCCTCCTTCTTCTTATTTCCAGAGAAAGACCTTCTAGTTTCTTGACCAATGGACATACACTGAGCTTCTAGTATTCTGGAACTACAGAGAGGAAGGGGATGGGGATGTCTCCCTGTTCGATAGGTGAACTTTCATTTTCTCCCCATTTTCCATTTGGCACCTCTTCTCTGGGTGACATCCAAATATATGCCTCTTATCGCTGAATGTGGAGTAGGGACCACGTATAGATCTTTCCAGAATATATACCTTCTGGTTCTTGAGCAGATGGGGTGGGGGGCTGTTTCTTAAACAGATTGTCATACAACACCTTGCCTGCTATTCTCATGGCCTCACCCCATGCTACATCCCATAGTACTGTCACTACCAACTCCAAAGACTTTCTGGTGTCCAGAGTACCTAATCGTCAGCCCCGTTACAGAGGACTGTCCTTCCTCAGCTCTGCTGCCCACCTTCCAGTCTTCCATATGTCTTCCATCTTTATATATTGTACCTCAGAGAAACAGATCTCCTGGAGTTTAATTTCCAAAACAGAGTTTGTGTTTCTGTCTCTTTATTCTCATGTTATTTAAGGAGTATTTTTTTTTTCACAGATGAAAACATACTTATCTCCCCATCTTAAAACCAAAAGTCTATCTTCACTTTCAAATTAGGAAACAGCCATTGCCCTCACTGGTGATGCCAGTTTGGGCTGTTCGGGTATTTGTATCCCCACTCCACTTTCAGAGCACTTCTCAATTTTGTTTTCCATACCACCGATTAGACTACTGGATGTTTTCTCAGTACTCTTTCGGCTCTTTCCCACTTCCAGATGGATTTAACCTCTGTTCACGCATTCTAGATACCCTGGCTTTTTACGTATTTACACCCAGATGATCTGTTTCTTACTACCTGCACCTGGACTTGAGTTTATTTTATGGTCCTTTGTAATTTAGGATCTTTGAGATGGAGAGCATCCCTCCTGTGAGTTGGGAAGAAACAAGATGAAAATGAAGATCGTATTACTTACAGGTCCTGCAGGGTACACAGAGTACCGTAAGGATACACACACACACACACACACACACACACAGAGTCAGGGAGTGTAGGCAGGTAGACAGGGACTTGGGAACCAACACCTTTGCTGGTTCCAAGGCATTATCCAAGCAGGTTCCCCATGTGGAGTGTTAACAGTGGGTTTAAAGCAAGCAGGCATGAGTGCCAGGAGGTCACACTATGGCTGAGAAGGGGTCACTGTGGCATATCCACATAGTTCATAGGGAGCATAGGGAGAAGCTGGGTCTATGGTCAGTCAACTAGGCTGCATCTAGTTGTCCCATGGAGAAGGACAATGATCTGGACCAACTATACTGAGGAAATGGGAGAAGGTGTAGAACTGGAAACTGTGTCAAGAGTGACTAGGAGGCCAGCAGGTGTTGTGGTGGTTAAAGACGCTGGACTCGGGACCAGCAGTTGGTGTAATGGCTATGTGGTTGGACTCCCATGTAGTCGACTATGGTTCGAGTCCCGGATCCAGTGACTTAAACTCACGCCTGGCACACATGTGTGCGTGCCCAAGATCCTGAGAGGAGAATGGAGGAGAAGGGATTGTGGTGTGGCCATCCTCTCTGGGGGGTAATTTCTCACTTTCTGTCTGTCTGTCTCTCTCTGTCTTTCTGGCGGGC